GAATGTAATAATTTTGTTCCACAATCTTCACGATATGCCTTCAATGCTGTCAAACATTCCATCTCCACTTTCTATTTCTGGTGACACAACATCGACACTGAAAACTTAACACCAGTATGTGTTTGAACTTGAGCTGGATGGTCTAGTTTTACATGAGAACAAGTGAAGAAGTGTTTCTGAGCCTATAACCAATACAGACTTGGTGCCAAATATGGCTAGCTGCTACTGTAGCAAGATGGGGGTTAAGCTCAAAGATGTGCAGAATCTCCAATTTTAACATGTCTGATGCTGTACAGATTCTTTGAAAATATTGTAACTCAGAAATATACAACTCAATAGCTTATGACATTTGTAAAATCAAAGGTTTCCAGTTTTTCAAAATAAAACAACACATTGACCTAATGGCACTGAGCTGTAGGAGGATCTAAGGTCTAAGGTGAGGTAAAAATAACAAGTAGAACAAGCAGCGCTAGCTGGCCTTAGAGTAACAGATATGTCAACAATGCATTTGTATTCCTTCCCCTACTGGCTGAATGATTTCTACCATAGTGTTCACCACAAAGGATGTCCACTGAATTAAGCAATCAGGACATATAAGATACTGTAGTACAAATGTACCTGCATACTAATTGGCCTGTAGATTGAAAGCAAAGTGGAGCAATATTCCAATTTCACACCACAAACACAACCACACACACCACCATCACAAGTAAACACTGATGCATATTTCACATTGCCCTTTCTGTCAGCAAGGGGAAAGTTCTAAGTTCAACAAATCAGGAAGGCACTAACCTCTGGATTAGATCAACGTCTGTGTTGGCCAGCGTCCAGCCTGCCAATGCCCTGGTGGTGATGTCAGGCAGCCAGCGTGGCTGCTATGATGCTGTCACAGCCCTCATTAATATAATGAACATGGGTCCTTGCATGTTGCACAGCAGGGGTGATCCTTGTGAAACTGACTCTTCCAGCCAGTCAGTATATATCAATCTGAACTATTGATGGCCAAGGGGACTTGAAGGTAAAAGTTGTTATCTCATTTTTTTAGGAAGAGCAACTTTGAGTTTGATAGATTCTTATCTGTAATGAGTAAGTAATACAGCAGTTATAGACTGTTCCATTCTCTCTTATAGTCCATTTAAATCCACCCCTCCCCCTGTGAGTGATATATGACCAAGGTTCTTGTTAGCATTGTTTGATGACAAACAACCACTGAGCACCACCTAAATGTAGAAAGGCCAGGCCACATCAAGACAATGTCTTGGTTGTCAGATTTTATCTTCCTTTTTTCATATTTTCTACATTCATTCATTCATTCATTCATTCATTCATTCATTCATTTATTTATTGTATCCACCAACATACAGTCGTTAGTACTACTGTATAGGGTTGCTGAGGATTTTGGGGTGTTCAAGAAAAATGCTTTTTTTCTGGTAGTACTTAACAGCAAGGTGATAAGTTATTCAAATTAGTATGTACAATTGTACATGTAAGGTACATGCACCAAATCAAGACCACTTGAATGTTTTAGGAACAGTTGAAAGTTAAGTTATGTAAAAAGGTAAAATATTTCTTGTCTTGGGAGTTTCCTCCTGTGCAGTTTAGTGGGGGATTTTGACAGCAGATACTGTTTTTTACTACTTTCCCACAAAACTCTGGGGACCAAACAATTTCATTTGAGTGGCCTCAGACTGAACGCACCATGTGCCTGCTTCAATAGATGTCAAAAACATCCCAACACAAAGGACCTCCCATCAGAACTCCTTTCAGTTACTAAAAGAAACAAACCTTTTGCAAGACCTGAATAAAAGGGTAGGAACAGGTAGCTCCATGCCTCTATGGCAAACAGTAGGTTCATAGGACATAGTACAATAGCAGGTTATGTACACATGTGAACCACGCATAAACAAAGGTGTGGCCACCAACGCCATCGCTTCAACAGGCCGTGTCTAAAGTGTATAACTCTGACATTTGTGCACCTCCCATATTTACACACCACCTCTGCTGCAAAGGCATAAAAATACCAGAGTGACCTGTTACGCAAATAAAACTGCAAGTTGCCTTTGCTGTGTACTATCAAGGACATTATACAGTGTATAATGTCCTTGGTACTATCTACTAGACAAGTGGAGGGGCAGTAGGTTGCCTAGGTGATTATAGGGTGTGTTTCAAGGAATCATAAAGCTCTAGACTTTAAACCCTACCAATGTAGCATGAACAATAACTATTGATTTTTCTTAGTTTCTGGAATGTAGGAATTAATCAAAATGTTTCCATTTTTCTGAAACTTCCATAACAACAGCATGCAGACTTCATAGCTTTTGTCTTGAATCTTACCAAGGAGTTGTGAAAGATTAATGCGTGGTACATGTTGTTTGGGGTAAAAAATGTCCTCACTAATTTTTTAATCATCTCAGCCCGTGGCTGCAAATTATAATACATGTTGTACACAATGTATTCCTTGGTATAACCATGGAAGTAAAAATCACATTTTTTTACCTCCATGGTAAACGTTATAACCAAAGAATGAACAAGCACACAACAGGCAGTGTGCAAAATACCTGGTTGCCCAGTTGCCCCGGGCAACCAAATTTTACTTGGGGGAACCTATTTTTGGTAAAGGGACCATTTATTTTGTCCCGAGTATGTAAATGAGGTGCTTATACATGCAGATACCTTGCAAATACGTAATAACGTAACAGAATAAAGTAAAATAAACGAGAAAGCAGGAGAATGCAAGAGAACACAGGAGATAGCAGGAGAATGCAAGAGAACACAGGAGAAAGCAGGAGAACACAGGATAAAACAGGAGAATACAGGAGAAAGCAGGAGAACACAGGAGAAAGCAGGAGAACACAGGAGAAAGCAGGAGAACACAGGAGAAAGCAGGAGAATACAGGAGAAAGCAGGAGAACACAGGAGAAAGCAGGAGAACACAGGAGAAAGTAGGAGAAAGCAAGAGAATAC